GCTTTCTGGGCTGCAAGCACACACTGCCAGCTCATGTTCATTTTCTCATCAACCAACACCCCCAGGTCCTTCTCCGCAGGGCTGCTCTGAATCTCTTCTCTGCCCAACCTGTAGCTGTGCCTGGGATAGCTCCCACCCAGGTGTAGGACCTTGCACTTGGCATGGTTAAACTTCATGAGGTTGACATCAGCCCACCTCACAAGCATGTCAAGGTCCCTCTGGATGGCATTCCTTCCCTCCAGCATATCAACCAAACCACACAGCTTGGTGTCATCAGCAAACTTCCTGAGGGCGCACTCCATCCCACTGTCCATGTCAGCGACGAAGATGTTGAACAAGACTGGTCCCAACACCGATCCCTGAGGGACACCACTCATTACTGGTCTCCAGCCGGACATTGAACCATTGACCACAGCTCTTTGCGTGCGGCCATCCAGCCAGTTCTTTATCCACAGAGCAGTCCATCCACCAAACTGATGTTGCTCCAATTTAGAGACAAGGATGTCGTGTGGGACAGTGTTGAATGCTTTACACAAGTCCAGGTAGATGACATCAACTGCTCTACCCTTGTCCATCAGTTCTGTAGCCCCATCATAGAAGGCCACCAAATTGGTCAGGCAGGGTTTCCCCTTAGTGAAGCTATGCTGGCTGTCACCAAGCACCTTGTTGATTTTGATAGGCCTTAGCGTGCCTTCCTGGAGAATCTGCTCCAAGATTTTGCCAGGCACAGAGGTGAGACTGACTGGTCTGTAATTCCCAGGGTCATCCATTTTCCCCTTCTTGAAAATGGGGGTTCTATTTCCCTTTTTCCAGTCATCGGGAACTTTACCTGACTGCCATGATTTCTCAAATATGATGGCCAGTGCCTTAGCAACTTCATTTGACAGCTCTTTCAGGACCCGCAGATGGATCTCATCAGGACCATGGATTTGACCAGGATTAGAGCTTCTGATTCCCTTCATATCACTGTTTACAGCACGGATAGTTACTACAGAGAAGCAATTTTGCATCTGCCTGGACCTCCTCAAGATCTATATGCTCACCTAGAAATCTCCCAGTTGCCATCAGGCTACTGTCTCATTTCATGCCTTAATTGGGCAATGAGTCTAATTCGTCAGTCTTTTTGACTGTTGTTTTGGATGTCTGAATAGTGTCTGTCACTAAAAATTATTGCACATTTTTTTAAGGTGTTCCATAAAATTGTTTTATATCAGCATATAATTGATATCTTACTGCAGATGAAACTTTGTAGTATTTTGTGAAGTCCTCCCAGCCAAGAGGGAAATGGAGTATTTCTGTCAGAGGAAGCTAATTGGAAGAAGCCAGACTCATGCCTACCTTGAACTGCTGTGAGGATGTAGAGATGAATTTAAGAACATCAATTTGCCATCATGCATATTTCCTGAACAAATAGCTTTGTTGCCTGTGGTGTATACAAAATCCCTCTCCCTGAATAAAGCATGATCTACGGCACACTGTTTGTCAGGACAGCAGTCACTAAAAGTCAGGGCTATCTTTCTCCCCAAATTATCTCTCTCCCTTGCATGTCTGAGTTCTATTACTATTAATGCTCTCTCAGTTTTGCCCTGCTTCTAATTCTATTAACCACCTTTCAAAAGTAGCAAGATGTTAAAGATTTGGAGCACTCTGAACTGGGTACTAAACTAATGTAATTAGAGATAGACCATGCTATGAAGTCTTCTATTTAAGCCTGTTTAGTAAAAAGGGTTAAACACACTAAAACTTTATATGAGAATTAGTTGTGAACATTAGTGATAATGCACAGTTTGCACTATCTGATCCAATTAATATCTACAAATACAAAATTTGCTTTTAGGCTAAATCAGCTGAGCCAACAAGGTCAGCTTTTGCCCATTCAGAAAGGTCTGTTGTACACAAAAGACTTCAATCCTTATTTTTGACTACCTTTCCAGAAGCAGTTAACATGGTCAGATCGCAGTGGTCATGCAACACAGGGCCCACACTGCTGCCAGCAAATCTGTCTCCTTTTGCCTTCATTTATTGAGGCTAGATGTAAATGTGAGATGTTCTTGGATAAACGAGTAGTAACAAAGAGCCAGGACACAAAATAAGAAAGCAAAACATTGTAGCTTTATGAACCCATCACTCTCTAAAATGAAATTAATCTTAAGTCAATTTTAGAATGAGCAGAACTTTCTAAAATAATACAGGACTATTGTTTTATTAAGGCAAAGAAAGCAGCAATCTGTTATAGAAGTACTCCTAATTTTACGCACCTTATAATATAAAAATGATCAGCTCTTTCAAGCTTCAAGTAAGGGTTTAAGTTTTATGTAAGCAGTCTTGAGAAATTAATGGTATGTTATTTAGCAATCTTAGTTATACAACTATTATTATTAATGTAATTTTATTGAAAAAATACGAATGTTGCAAAAGTATCTATTAAGCATAAGTGATGTTGCCAAAACAATGTTTCTTTTATACCCTGAAGTCTTGTTAATAAGATCACTACATTGCCAACAATCTGAGCCCAGCTGTTTCTCAGTGCGGATTGAGGGACAAGTTCAATTTCAAAACCACATTAGCTTGCATATTCTAAAGTATGCATATATAAAAAAAGATTTTGTAAGAAAAAACATCCAAATAAATTATTGTGCAAAGGTTCAGCTTTTATGTTGTTTTCAGTTGTTATATTGTTATGGTTGTTAGTTGGCAGCCAGTCATAAGTGGTGTTCCCTAGGGCTTAATACTAGGGCAAGTTCTCTTTAATATCTTTGTTAATGACCTGGACCAGTGACCGAGGGAACCCTCAGTAAGACTGCAGGCAACACCAAGTTGTGTGTGTTGATCTACTTGAGGGTGGGAAGCTCTGCAGAGGGATCTGGACAGGCTGGATTTCTGTGCTGTGGCCAGTGAGATGAGGTTCAACAAGGCAATGTCCCAGGTCCTGCACTTGGGCCACAACAACCCCCTGCAATGCTCCAGGCTCGGGGAAGAGCGGTGTCCTGGGTTCAGCAGTAGCAGTAATTTTTCTCCTTCTTAGTAGCTGGTGCAGTGCTGTGTTTTGACTTTCAGCCTGGGAACAGAGCTGATAACACCGATGTTTTTAGTTATTGCTCAAATGTTTAGGCTGACCAAGGACTTTCTGAGCCTCATGCTCTGCCAGGGAGGGAAAACCTGGAGGAAGCAGAGACAGGACACCTGACCCAAACTGATCAAAGTATTCCATACCACAGCACGTCGTGCCCAGGATGTAACTGAGAGTTACCCAGAAGGGTGAGCACTGCGGGGTTGGATGAGGTATCGGTTGGTGTTTGGTCGGGCTGGGGGGAGCGAGTTATCGGTTGGCTGGTGGTGAGGTGATGTATTCTCTTCCCTTGTTACTTCCCCTCTCATTATTATTATTGGTGATAGCAGTAGTGGTTTGTGTTATACCTTAGTTACTGGACTGTTCTTACCTCAACCCATGGGAGTTGCATTTGTTTTGATTCTCCTATCTGTTCCTCCGGGAGCAGGGGGAGGGCAAGAAGGGGGGTGAAGTGAGTGAATGAGCTGTCTGGCTGTGTTTAAACCACGACAAGTGGCTGGAAAGCTGCTCATGGAAAAGGACCTGGGGGTGCTGACTGATGGAGCTGAACATGAGCCAGCTTGTGCCTAAGCAGGCAAGAAGGCCAGTGGCATCCTGGACTGTATGAGCACCAGTGTGGCCAGCAGGGCCAGGGCAGTGAAGATCCCCCTGTACTGGGCACTGGTGAGGCCGCACCTTGAATCCTGTGCTCAGTTCTGGGCCCCTCACTACAAGAGAGACATTGAGGTGTTGGAGCCAGGCCAGAGAAAGGCAACGGAGCTGGTGAAGGGCCTGGAGCACAAGTCTGGTGAGGAACGGCTAAGGGAACTGGGGCTGTTCAGCCCAGAGACAAGGAGACCAACAGTAGACCTTATTGTTCTTTACAGCTACATGAAAGCAGGTTGTAGTGAGGTGGGAGTTGGTCTCTTCTTCCAGGTCACTAGAGACAGGACAAGAAGAAATGGCCTCAGGTTATGCCAGATGAGGTTTAGACTGGACTGTGGGAAAAATTTCTTCAAAAAAAGGGCTACCAAGCACTGGAACAGGCTGTGAAACAGTGGTGGAGTCACCGTCCCTGGAGGTGTTTAAAAGATGTGTAGATGTGTCAGCTGGGGACATGGTTTATTGGTGGCCTTGGCAGTATTGGGTTAACAGTCTGATTCGGTTAGCTTAAAGGTCTTTTCAAACCTAAATGATTCTATGATTCTGATGCTGTTCAGACTAGTTATTCTGTCTTGTCAGCTCCACAGTGGTATAGATTATAAGTATACTCTTTATAAGAAAGACAAAATTGTTCTTGTGCTACTCAGTCGGTTACTGCTGACTTAATTTGCCAGGGAGAGAAGGAAGAAAGGGTCATGAAGAATTTTTTGTTTCGTTTTTGGTTTTTTGGTTTTATCAGTTTGGTTGGTTGGTTTGCTTTTTAACATGGCTGTCTACAAGTTATATCAGAACCAGGTGTGTTGTGAATTTAAAGGATAATAACCAGTTTGGACAGTCCCATTTCAGAGTAAGTGAGGGGTTTTATTCTGGATTAGTTTAATTCACTTGCAAAGTTTATCCTATTCAGAATAAGTGTTTCCCAGAAGGAAAGATTTGTCACAGAAAGTATTTCAGTGAGTTTCACCACATGAACAGAAATTAGAATCATAGAATAGTTAGGGTTGGAAAGGACCTTAAGATCATCTAGTTCCAACCCCCCTGCCATGGGCAGGGACACCTCACACTAAACCATCACTCCCAAGGCTCTGTCCAACCTGGCCTTGAACACTGCCAGGGATGGAGCATTCACAACTTCCCTGGGCAACCCATTCCAGTGCCTCACCACTCTTAACAGTAAAGAACATCTTCGTTACATCTAATCTAAACTTCCCGTTTAAGTACTAACCCGTTACCCCTTGTCCTATCACAGTCCCTAATGAAGAGTCCCTCCCCAGCATCCTTATAAGACCCCTTCAGATACTGGAAGGCTGCTATGAGGTCTCCATGCAGCCTTCTCTTCTCCAGGCTGAACAGCCCCAACTCTCTCAGCCTAAAAAATTCACTTCATGTGACAAAAAAAAAATACAAAAAAATAGTTATGTGCAATAGATTTTGATAAAGTAGGAAAGAATATTCTGAACTCCAACTTCCATGCACTAACACATTATTGGTATGTTTGCCTCGTTTGTCAGAATACTATACCTGCCATCATAGGTAATCCCTGTAGCCACGTTTTAAGCCTTAAGATCACAACTAATCTTCAAACATGAAATACAAAGCAAAGAAAAACTGTTTTTACATTTAATTGCATCTTTATGATCTGAAATGACTATATCAGCATCAGAGGAAAAAGTCTGGTTTATTCATTAAGTAATACTTTTAGCATTTCTGAAGCACCAGTGCCTCACAGTCCTTTTGTTGATGCAGTGCTGGAACAAGATCTTTGGAGATTTGTGAGATGCAGTGGTCTCTATTTTCATTTGAAATGGTCTGATATTTTATACACATGATAAAAAAAAAAGAGCAATCAAGAGGAGGAAAAACTGTGTTTCAGATGAGAACCTACAGCAGCTTTAGCATTATGGTTTTCTATGATGCTGCTGAAGTCTTTAGGAAAAAAAGCTGCCTTCCTCCTATTCAGGTGGTCTGAGTTATGTCCATGATAGCATCTGTGAGAAGATGTGATGAGAACAGGAATAGCTGCAGCTAAGATTGCAGCCTTAGCAAGATCATGTCAGGGTCCTTCATCAGGCAGAGGAAACAGTTCCCTTGGACTTTCAGTGCAAGAACCAAATAAAAAATTGATGGATTATTTCTCCAGAGCTAAGGAAAAATTAACTTGTATATTTCTGTATAAAAAAATAATGTCGTAATAGCCCGCTAACTCAGCTATTTTTACGCTTTGAGGAAGAACTTTTTACTGGAAAGAAAAACATTTAATATTTGGAAAATCTGAATATTAGACAGGCCTCACTATGAAAATGAAATTTTACTATATCAGAAATAAATATTTCATTCTTAATCATTTTCTCTTCTCAGTTCAATGTATAGGCAGTCCTTTGAGCAGTGCCTGTGACTCCTTTTATAATATGCACAGTTAAGCATATTATAAAAATATGCTTCTCAAAACTTTTAAAAGTTGCTAACAAGTTTCTCTAAAATATGTCTTTTAAGCCATAACATACACTGGATGTTAAGTTAGGGTGTGCAAGTGCAATTAAAGTGATGTGGTTTTGCTTGGGAATAATGGCCAAGCATACTCATCCCAGAGCAATTCACAAAGGACTTCAGGCCCATGTCCTGTGCCTGTCCTTTTTCATATACTTTGGATGATTAAATGGCAGGACACCAAGGGAGAGAAAATGTCTCTGAGCAACCCTAACTGGGGCAGTCTGACTGACTCCAAAATGGTTGATAGAAGCATAGCACGGGTGTTTGCTCAGTACATTTCCAAAGTTGCATTATTTTCAGAGTGAGCTTTATACTTCTAAAACAGTTCTTGGTTTGTCATTCACGTTCATGCCTCCTCAGTACTGAGATACACCCCTCCTAGTTTTGTGACATTGACATTTTCATATATGGTTGCTCCCCTGATGCAAATGTGAACAATTGCTGCCTGTATGGGGTAACTAGGCAATAACAGGGGAACATTCTTTACTTTAAGACTCCTACTCAACATATATATTCCTGAGCTTTCTAGTCCCGTCAGTTATAACTAAGCCATTAAGTTAAACCATGGTGAATTCAGAAAAAGGTGATACCCGAAACCTGTCAAGGTAATCGTTCTTTTTCCTCTGACGTAGGAGTGCTTTGTGTCAAATAAACATTTTTTAAGTGTTCCACCATAACTTTCTCCTCATCTTCAAGATCTGCACCTTCTTTCATCTCCCACCTAAAAGAAAGAGAACTTATTAATTTTTTAATGTGTTTTAGACCAGTCTTTAGAACAAGCAAGTCAATACAAAACTGAGTTATAGAATATATAACTCCCCAAATTCTTTCCCCACACAACTAGCATGGCCAATTGAAACAAATTGTCAAATCTCACATTTACTGTGATAGTACTTTAAAAATCTCACCAAAAAATCTCACATTTATTGTGATAGTACTTTATTTTTCTTATCACACATATTGGTAGATGTGGAAGCACAGTAAAAATAGCAGAGAAAAATTGGAAGAGCTAGCAAGCATTTTGGAAGCTTAGCAGGTGCTCTCAACACTCTATAGGTTTGTAGTGAAAACTCAAACACCACGTGATGATCAGCCCAAATATTTAATGTGAATGGTCATAATTTTCTCTCAGGGACAATACTATATTATAAAACACCAAAAAACTGACTGGCTCATTATTTCGGCAATCATCAGGCATACCTATCATACCAAGAAATAAATATCAGATTCTTCCCTTTCTCCATGTGAATACTTAGTTCTAGTTTAGGATAAAGTCGTAATATCATTAAATCTGAAAAACTGAAAAAATAAAACAGTATGGAGCCAATTTTGTTTTTTTTTAGTAGCTGATTAAATATAAAACCTTAAAAGTCACACAGGATTCCCTTGCAGAAAATCAGGATAACAATTGCGTAAATAATGCTGATATATAGTTAGCTAAACTTTGTATCACTGTAATTATTCCTATGTAATGTGACACTGTCTTACAAATTTTGTGGATGTTAAGGGTTTGCTATCCCTTTAATATATCTCTTTCTGTTCTAAGTAGATAGTAAAGTGTAGGTTCCCAGTTCAGACCAGCTGAAGACAAAAGGTAATGCATGAATACTGAATACAGAAATAATATTTTCAAGTATTAAATCCAGTGGATATAAATGAGCATAGGATGATCCTGTAAAGTAGGAGAGATGTAGAGGAGCATCAGAATAAAGACTGCTTTTATGAAACTCATGTCAGGAGCAATACCTTAGTCCTGTTCCCACATACATTAGGTCCTCATTCAGACTGCAGAAAGCAAAAGCCATATACAAGTTTAGATTGGTGAATAAATCAAATGTAATACAGAATGTTGAGAGTTCATCATATTTGCAAAAGAGGACAATCGATATTTGCAATAAAGCGTGGGATGTACTTGTTATAACTGTGTTTAAAAGCTTACTAAAACCAGAAAAAAGAACAAGTGCTCTGTAGTACAATCTGATCATTAAAACACAGTCAGGAAAAATATATTCAATGAACACGTATGAATTAGCATATATCCATCATACTTTTACCTTAAAAACTGAATGTGACAACCCACATTATCGCCTCAATTGATGAGTATCAGAACAAGCAAAGCATACTATGAATAAAATTATAAACACTATGTCTATGATCAGAGTTTTGCAGCAATTTGCAGCAATCCCACTCATGTACAACCACTATCATACTTAGCCTGATCTGATTATTAACATTAGGTAAAATTAATTGTTATTATAACCATCTGCTTCGTTCTCTGTTTTATGATATATTTATAATATCTGGCTACATGAGCCCTCAGCATGGTTACTTCTGCAAGCATCCCAGGGTGAATGCTGTCAAACAGGGTGACCAGTTTCCCTTTTTCCTTTTGCTAATGGACTAAGGCGCCTCTCCAAAGCCAGGAAGAAATTGTATAAGCCTTAATTTGAATTTATGGTCCTCAGAGTCATTCCAAACCACCACTTCACCAATTGAATTGATTCATTTTAATTAATTTGATTTGTTGCATATTTTTGAGTAGAGGAGCTTTTTGCTTAGAAAGATGACAATGAAATGAAAGCTTTTTGCTTAGAAAGATGAAAATGCTAAATGAAATACATTCAAAACAGTTATTGCTGGAGGTGTAACACAGAAATCTAGCACACTTGGCTAAAGGAAGCTTAATAATAAATCAGTAGATTCCTTTTAAAAATAGTGCCTTCATACTTGTCAGCACATTTCATTGAAACTTAAAATTTAGCATTGGTAAAAATCTTCAATGTCATCCAGTTTGGACATTCTCTAGTGTTCACTTTATATCAAGTTATTACTAATACATTGCATTATCATTCTAGCAAAAAGTAGTCTATTTTTAAAGCATTTAAGCAGGTCCAATGAGGATTAGAATGTCTTCTATGCATTCACTTAACAGTATCCATGAATTAAAGATCTATGAAATGAGCTTGACAAACACCTGGTCCCTCATCTAGTGTAGAAATTTTGCCACTCATAGGCCTAAAGTCTGAGGACATTATTTTTTTCTAAAAGACTACTAGACAGTAAACGAGAAGGCTACAGAATATCTTTGCTCTCCTAAATGGGATGGGAAATCAGGTGTTTGAGTTCAAATGGAAAAAGAATCAATACTTCCTATTCAAAAATTTGTCCAAAATCGAACATATTTTTACTAGCCTATCTAAAATGTCACAGTTGTTTTGGCAACAGTAATTGGTACAAATCCAACTAGCCAGTTCAAGAAATGTGAATGAAATTATCATCCTGAATTACTTTCAAAATGCAAGCTTCATCAGTTGAACAGCCAACATGCACACCTCTGTTCTTTCAAATTATTAGTAGTGTAGCTCTTAGAGAAAATTTCCAAATACATAGGTGGCATGTATTTTTAGTCTGTCTGTGTCTTGGAAGATTAAATAAAATCAGCATTTCAAAAGGGTACTGAAATTATATGAACCAATCCATCACATCACTGTCTACATTTTGCTTGGAGTTCATATGAGCCCAACTTTCCATATATTCTTCAGAGTTAAAAAGAAAGCATATGTTTAGAATAAAATCACCTTTGTAATTTTTAGGGTAGCATTGCAAGTATTCAGGCCAATGTATTCAGGCCAATGCTACTTGTATGCTTACAGAATTAAGTGTTCAAAAAGAATTTGAAATTTATTTAACAGCAGTTAATTAAATATGAAACCTTAAGAGTCACACAGTACTCCCTTGCAGAAAATCAGGATAATAAATGCAGAAATAATGCTGATACATAGTCAGCTAAACTCTGTATCACTCTAATTATGCCTACATAATATGTTCACCTGAATTGCTGAAAACTTTTTATCTGTATGCTGTTCCTTTCTGTGTTGCAGGAGGCTGACGAAGGGGTAAAAAAAAACACATTAGCAGTAAACATTTTTTTTTTTTTTTCAGACAGATAGAGCAAACCAGGTCAGCACAGATAAATACAGGAATCACAAGTTTTCTGCTGGTCAGTCTAGACCTTAGATCATGAGGTCAAAGCGGATAACTAGCTCTTGGAGGGCTTCTGGTTCTTTTCATAAATAAAATGCAAGAGGGGCAGAAGTCTTGTCTTGCACATCTGCAAGATAACAGAGTGCAAGGGGAGAAATATTCAGTGCTCTAAGAAGATCCAGTAATTCCAGCTGTCTCCATGTGCTATCCTTGCTTATAATTAGCACCAACATATCCATTTATATAAATGAATATGCAGGACTATGTTTTGTGATACTCTTGTCTCTCCACTATACTGAATTATAAAAGGTAAAGAAACAGTAAATGTGTTTGCAGAGGTGCAGAGGAAAATCTTCTGTGCATCTGCTAAAAAACATGCTGGACATTTTAGCAGGGCTGGCTTTAATACAGGGTGATACATTTGCTGCTTTGATTTTCTGTTGCAGTATTGCATATATTTTGTAAATTATAGATATATTCCTATGAAGGCACTTTTTAAAAACCATAATAGGCACTATATATTACATTTAGCTGCTTGTTACAGATCAAAAGGAAGTATATACATTTCATAGCAAAGTTGAAGTATATTAAATCAGAAATAAAATACATACAGTAGTATGTGTATAGGGATTACCCAAAGTGACACAGATTTTACCTGTAGCAGATTGCCACATTTTAAGAAGTCCCATTAATAAATTTACTTTAATAGCTACTCTTTGATTAGTTACTAAGATTGTTTATTACAGTTCATCAGTTATAACAAGGATGTAAAAATTAAAGGAAAAAATATGCAAAAATTTACAAGCAATAATAAATGTGAACAAAATTGAAATAAAACCTAAGAGTACTTTTAAACTCAGAATTCTTTTCACATTTAGAAAACTACTTATTAATATATTTGAGAGATTAACCATACCCTTTTCTAAAGCTTGTACAAAACAATGTCTAAAAGTGAACAATTTATAGAAGGGGTCACCCTAATATAATTTTATAGTGGTATTTTATGTATTGCTAGTAGTGCTTGTGTAGTATTTTGATATCTATTGCATTCCTTAAGGTCCTGAAAAATGCCACATAATGTAGAACTTTATACAAGGAAGGAAAAAAGAAATCAATGCCATCTTTGTTATTTCCTATGAAATAGCTAATATCTCAGGTCCTCTTTCAGGGAAGTGTTGGCAAATGATGAGACTATAACTGTATAGCTGTATATTAGATAGCTGAAAATATAAATTTCAATACTGAATAATAGCTGTACTTAACAGTTGCTATGCATCAAACACCAGCAATGTATTTGATACTGTGCTAAGATGTCATAATTCACATCTAATCTAAATCAAAGTGCCATTCAAACATCCTAACATGGGTAAATATTCAGAATTCAAGCACCACAAGCTCTTAAGCTTATCTAGTTTTAATGTGGTGAATTACCACTGGAAAACTTCACTGTTTTCAAGAGGAATTTTAATAACAACGGTGAGCCTGAATAGAGAAAGTCCCTTTTTGCCAAATATTCTATAAGAAAGCAAACATGGGAAAAGAACACAAAAAAGGTGCATAAACTTATGTTGCATTCCCTTTTATCTTTATGTGACTTTAGAGTCATTTCAGGTAATTTACATTAAATATTTTCCACATACCTTCAATTTCTCCAATAAACTGGTTTGCTGTAATTTTCAAACTTCTGTCTAAATGCATTAATTTATACATAACACTGTAAACTGAAGGAGGCAAAAG